CTGATTATGGAGTTTTGGACGCTAGCCCACCGGAAGATAATCTCCAAAGTTATAGCGCCAACTAACTAACCTGGGCTCATTCTTGCGTCTTGGTTGCGCTGGTATCCGTACAGTCGACAGAATTGTCGTTGCTGGGCTTTGTCGCCTATGCTACCTATGTTCCACTATTAGATGAGCAAGTGCGGTTCTTGTTCATCCGCCCGTGGATGCAGCCTTGAGCCTTGTCATCAACGGCTGCAGATCTACCAGCATTCAAGCAATAATACGGTGGTGGTGGTGGTGGTGGTGGTGGTGTACATGTCAGGGTTTGGGTTTCAGAATTGCCTTCCCCCAGATCGGTCGCGAACGACACCGATTGGCGGGCGAATCCCCAGCACACACACGAGCAACCTCCAGTAACTAGTTAACCTATTGAGCTGCGATACGGAGTAGATTGTCGGCGATACATAAATTAATAATGAAACAAAGCACAGCGTTTTGGGTAACCCGGCCGGTCCCAAGTCGAGTCCAACCAAGCAGGGGAGGGCCTTTGGCAGCGGAGAAGGGGGGGTCTCGACAGGGAGGTTGGACGAATTGCCCTTTTTGCGACTCATTTGTTGGTGCAGCTCGAGAGCAGAAGCACAGCACACTGGCTTTTCAGCCAATTACCAGCCGGAAAATGAAAAGACCATGCCATGTCATGTCTCCATCGCGAACCCCTGGCTAGGTAGGGTGGTGTTCATGTCACCATCGTTATGCGGCAAGTCGAGGCTGCAACCACCAGCTTGGCTGCAGCAGGCCATCGAGATGGAGGTGCGGACATGCACGAACCTTGGTCATGTTCAAGCCAGCAGCGGCAGAAACCAGTCATCTGGTCTCTCGCTCTCTCTCTCTCTCGCTCCCCCTTTCTCTCGTCCCGTGCTTCTCTGCATAAGGATTGAAGTTTTTCCGGGAGCAAATCATGATAACAAGTACGTTGTATTACGCACGGTTAAAAGTGAGTGGATGGTGAAGAACGGCCCCTAGCTATGCAGGAAATAATAAACTAAATGTTATAGCGGCGTGCGGGAAAAAAAAAAAAGGAAAAAAAAAACAAAAAAAAAAAGTCATACGCCGCTGGACCGGAGTGTCAAATCACCAGTAGTAGCCAAGGAAGACCGACCACATGGCCACAGGGCGTGCGCCGGAAGAGAGCGAACAGCCTTGTTCGCGATCCATGCCAGCATCCCACATCCCACATCCCATATCCCATGCCAAGCCACCGAGCAGCCCGGGAGGAGGGAGGGCAGAGACGACCCCCTCCCCCTTCTGAGAGTTCCCCAACCCGTCGCGAGGAATCGACAAGCCTGCCGCGCCCTCTTGCCAACATATTGTACCAACAACGTAATCTGTTGCAAGTACGGAAACGGACGTGGTAATGTCCGTCTCCAGTTTTTCTGTTTGTCCTTGGCCGGTCCTTCACCTTCACCTTGATCACCAACCAAGTGGAGAGGCTCAAGCTGCGGGTCGGCCCTCGCTCCAAAAAGGGACCTTGTTGGGAGGATTCCAGGCTAGCTAACGGACAATAAACCTAACTAACCTAACTTTTAGTTTGTTCCCGACTACGGATGGGTTAGCTTATTAGTTGACTCTTGGCCGCAACGGTGGGCAACGGCAGTTCCCACAAAGCACCAGGGGGGGTCGAGGGCACGGGTTTGGCAAAGCCAACTACCAGCTACCAGCTACCAGCCCTGTGCTCCTTGTACTGACTGGTACGGTGGCCGACAACGGGTTAACGGGTTCGTCAGAACAAGGAGAAATTAGAAGACGACGCTCAGAGGGAATTGATCAACAACAGGGATGGAACCAAAACAGACAGCGCTCCGTCCCAGGCCCTTGTCCTTTCTGACCGCGGCGACCTCAACGCCTCATCCATCAGTTGCCTCTGCAGATGGATGGATCCTCGGGGACTTGTGCGCCCTCAACAAGTCCGATTCAGCTACGTAGCAAGTAGCCGTGCTGTCTTTGTACCGCGCAACGTATGGTTCTCGCCAGGTTTGGACACGAGTGACGGAGACGGAGACGGAGACAGCGACAGAGACAGCGACAGAGACAGCGACAGAGACAAGATGTGTCCATCCATGATGCAGCGGCGGCGGGCGCATCATGTCTGCTCCTGCACCCTCCTGCCTACATGCTGCCTGCATCCTGCATGCAGCTTGTTGCGCGGTTTGGCTGGCAATGTCATGTCCATGTCGGTCCAATCTACGGCAACGCTAATCACGCATCTGTTCTGTGCTAGCCCGATTACGACAGTCTTGTTGTCTCATTGGGAATGCTGACGAGACAACAAGTCAGATTATCGTCTTTATTCTTTTCGCTCCCACGATGTTTGCCAGTTCATTCTTCTTGATCCGCATGAACAAAGGAAACCAACCATCCCCGTCAATTTGGCTAGGGCTGCAACAGGAAAGCTTAACTTGAACAAAGGCGAGAAAAAAAAAAAAAAAAAAAAAGGGCAAAGTTGGATCGGGAAAC